AATTCTGCTTGGTACATTCTTAAAATATGTACTAAGTTCTTAAAGAAAAAGTATATATATAACAATAATACATAAAATACTTATTCTATTCCAATTCAGCTCAATTATTAATGTTAGTTACAATCTTCCATTAATATTAATTAACATCTTTAACATTTCTTTTCAATTAAATATCATACTGTACTTCCTTAGGAACACTTATAATATTTCCATATTTTTTTTCATATTTCTCTTCACTTAATTTTTTATAAATCATTAATAATAATTAAAATGTTACCATCCTTTCCTAATTTCATTTTCTCATTCTCTTTATTTCATTTATTAACAAACATTCCATTACATTACAATAAGTATTTTATCTATCACTTTAATCACACTTGTTTCATATTTTCTAAATTCATTTCTATTTCTAAAATGACAATGCTATCTTATATACCCTTGCAGAATCCTCTCTTTCAATTAAATTTTCAACCATTATCTCTATGTCTTCTAAATAGGCTTATACCTTTAATCCTTGTACGTTTTCCCTGTTTCTCTATATCCTGTTTCTGTCCTTTATAACTTCTTTTCTTTTCCTTCTTCCCCCTCTTCTTTTCCCTCCCCTTTTTGACCCCTTGTCTCTCTAATTCTAATTCTCTCTTCTGTAATGCTTTCTTCTGTTTCTTCCTAATATTGTAATTGTTTTCAAACTGTTCTTTTTTTTGGTTGTTTTTTCAGATCTTAAATTTTTCACTCTTTCCCCTCTTTCCTCCCCCCCCCACATAGAATTACTGGATCATTAAAGATGGCTTCTTCTTTGTCCCACCCTTCTTGTTCTTCAAGCATTTCTTGTTGTTTCTCATAGTTCAAGATCTCCATTTGTGCTGTCCCAGCCAGTCTATGGGAGTTGGATAGTGACTTAGGAATTGCGAGCTGTCCCCTTTTAGGGAGTACATCATGGTAAATGTAATTAAAGATATCCTGGGAACTGTAGTTTATGTCACATGGCCACATCTGCAATCCTGATTGGTCACTAAATTGACCCTTGAAGGGTTGAGGGAGGTTTCCTCCATTCTTGCCTGGACTCATGAACTGATAAGCAGCTTATCGCTATGAGATGGGTTAGGAAAATAACCATCTTTTACTTGCAAGGTTGATATACAAAGGATTGGTCATTATAGAAGAATTTCATCACAAATGTGAATCATGAAGATACCTGATGTACCAATAAATGTACTTTGTTATGGATGTTTTGTGGAATTATCTATCTGCATCTGCACAGCTACAAATCCACCTCTGTGCATGAGACAGGAAACCATTTCTAAAAATTGAAATATGAAGCCAAAAAAATCTCTTCCTTCTTGTGCATTTTCTTTCTGTAATTTAAGTTCCATTTTTGGGATCTTCCAAGAGTGATGCCATTTTAAACACTTTTAAACAACCACCCGATTGATTTTAGTCATTTAAATCCAATAATTAAAAATCCCAAAATCACCAAGTAATCCAAATAATCCAAAGCTGTTTCTTCTTGTTTCTTGTTTCCACTTTCTCTTCCTGGGGTTCTATTATCTTGTTATAAAGTTTCAGTTAAAATGTATCTTTTAGGAATCTTGTTAAAGTTTCACTGTTAATTCCTTTTACTTCCAGGTGATCTCCTCCATTTTTCCAGATCCCACCCTTTTGTTTTTTCCTTTTCTCTCCTTTCCGTCTTTTAAAAGTTTTTGAATATCCAAAAATCTTTATTATCCCTTTGGCATTTTATTTTTAGTTTAAATGCCTATTAATGTCAAAGTGATTTTTTTCCAATTTCTTACTTAAGTCTCTTAGCTGTCAATATGGGGAAGGAAAGAAAACAACCCAAATCTTTTCCCTTCCCTCTCTCCTTCACCGCTTCAGAAATCTTCTTTGGGAACAATGTTATTCTTTATAGTTCAAATTCCAGGGTACATTATGTTGTTGCTTTTTCAGTTCAACCCGGTCAGTCAAAACTTTCTCTTCTTATCTTCCTCCTGCACAATCTTTTCCGGTCGGGTTCTTCTTTGAGGTGGCCATTTCTGACCACCGCTGCAACCGCCTTTGGGAAAGGGAGTTATGGCCAGCTGAGGAGGAGAGATGTGGCTCTCCTCGACCCTGCTGGCGGTCTCCCCCCCCTTCACCTTTCTGGGGTGGTTTTTGTCCTGAATCCAGCCAACTCGGGGCGCTCCGGCAGCGAGCATGGATCAAAACCGCGCACAATCACGGATTTCAGTCCGTTGCCAAAGAAGCCCAAAATCAGAAGCAAGCCAACCTCTTGTTCCTTACTGATATCATAAATGTCAGGATACTTTCAGATAAATGTTTCTTAATATTCCTACTTAAACCATGTTTAATTCTTTAATGAATAGGTTAAAGAGATTAAAACAAGGATTCAAGACAAAGATTTAGAAAAGACAACTTTAGAATAAAAGTTTCACTTACCATACAGTTATAACAGCAGAAGTTCCAAATAAATAAGAGTTGCTTAGTAGGTAGAACATGTCCTTTAAAAAAACATATACCTGCAATAAAATTCTGCTTCATTCTGTCTGTGATGTATTTGGCACCCATCATAACCCTTCGATCTGTGATCTTCTGATTCTCTTCCTGCGTCATTTCAAATTGTTCAAGTCTTATTTTTGTCCTTTATGTGGGCATCCATTTACTCTGCTGTAATTTGTTCTACCAAACTGAGGAGAAGAATGTGTTTGCTGCACATAGGAGTAAAAAGTGTTGCATCCTTTATCATTAAAATAATGTGCAGTTTGACACCAAATCTTACCTAGTCCAATTTTCTAAATGTTGCTAGACAAATGTGTTGCAGAAGCATACAGTATTGGCAAAAGTCATTCCTGAATGATTTATTTAGTGTGCTAATTAGAGAAATATACTACCGTATTTGCCGGCGTATAAGACGACTTTTTTGCCCTAAAAAACATGCCTCCAAGTGGGGGGGTCATCTTATACGCCGGTAAATATATTGTCACTCGGTGCAAGAGCGACGGGGGCGGAGCTCCGCAACTTGCGAAGCCCCTTCAAGCCCAGCCGGAGTCTCTCTTCCTCCTCCTCCCACCCACCCACCCACCCTCCGCCTGGCTCGGGGCACTTGCGGAGGCCAATCTGGAGGTGGGGTGGGGGTGGAGCGGGAGGGTCTCTGGCGGGGCCGCTTCGCCCAGCCAGCCCTGAGCCGCGTAATGGCCCAGGGAGTGGGGGGGGAGAAGGTGGTGGGGGTGGACTGTGGCGCCTCTCCTTCTGGGCAGCGGGGCGGGGGGCGGCAATTTGCTCCTCCCGCTTCTCCCTCCCTCTTTGAAAGACCGGGAGGGCTGTGCTTGGGGCGGGGGGGGATGTCCTCAGGAAGTTCCTGATGGGACCCCGCTGGGCAGGGCCACCCGGCTCCCGAGCTGCTTTCCAGGGTCCCCTTGGGAAGAAAAGGGTCCGGTGGGCGGTGGAAGAAGGCGAGCGCCCTCCTCCCGCCCCCTGTCCCGTCCCGTCCCTCCTCTTGTCCCCTCCTCCCCTCCCCGCTTAAGAGAGAAAGATCTGCCTCCCCTGCACCGAGCTGCCACCCGGCGCCGCGTCTCCCGGCCAGCGCGCGCTTGCGACTTGGGAACCGGCCAAGCGACTTTAAAACCGAGCGGAGGCCAGAGATAGCCGGAATTACCCTCCACACCACACACACACACACACACACACACAGAGAGAGAGAGAGAGAGAGAGAGAGAGAGTTGGCAGCTGTCCATCCCCCACCCTTGGAGTCCCGATGGCACGCACGCGGGGGCTGTCACAAAGAAAGGGAGAGGAATTGAGTGCCAGCCTGAGAAAGGCGAAGCTGCCTCTCTAAAGCATTTTGGTGGCTTTGTAAGTTTGGGGGAAAGGGGTTGGGGGTGTCAATCAAGAATTATATCCAGAATACCCCAAGTGTTACAACTTACCGTATTTGCCGGCGTATGAGACGACTTTTTTGCCTTGAAAAGCATGCCTCCAAGTGGGGGGGGTCGTCTTATACGGCGAGTATATAACAAAAACTATATTTTGAGTGGAAATGTTGGGGGCTCGTCTTATACGCCCAGTCGTCTTATACGCCGGCAAATACGGTACATCTAAACAGGGAAATTCTATTGTGACTGACTTGCAAAGAAAAAAATTCAAGAAAATTAGCTCACTTTTCCCTCTGTCATCTGTGGACCAGAACTGCATTTCCAGAAGCAAAAATTAAAATCTATTGTACACGTTTCTGACAATTAACAAAGGAGTGGTGAGAATTGGAACTGTTCTCAGAACAATTTCTCAGATTCTTTAATATTCTGTTTCTTGGGAGATTTCATTGTAGCTTATACCTTACTCAGTTTACTTATCTCAAAGCAGTTTGATGTACACAGTGCATATTTTAAATTGATGTAGCAGTGTTAGTTGCTATTCCAAAGTTAATTGCTAGATAATGAATGCAAGCAACTTTAGAGATAGATACTGTAGATAGATAGATAGATAGATAGATAGATAGATTGTTTCCATTTAGATTAAAAGGGCATTACCACCTGATAACACAATCTTTTTAATAAAAAAATAATTTCTGCATACTTTCCCCAGATGAATACTATTTTTTAAATTGCTTTGTAGGAAAGCTGGACTCCACTCTATAAACTTGATCTATGTTTCATTTGTTTTCAGAGTGGAGGAGGCAGTTGTGTCTACTTATTTTCCAGTTGTCCATCCAGTCATGATTGCAGTCTGCTGTTTTCTGATCATTATTGGAATGCTGGGGTATTGTGGAACAGTAAAAAGAAACCTTTTCTTGCTTGTATGGGTAAGATCTCTTTTTATTCATTGATGTATCATTTAATGTTCAATTGAAGAAATGTTCTCTCTGTGTGTGTGTATATGTGTGTGTTTTAAAAAATAGCTTGTTAATGGTCATTGCCATTAAAAGCAAGTGCCCTAGTCTTAGAGGTAGGGAACTTTTAGAGGTTCAAGGGCTTGCCTAAGTTTCATAAAACATGCTAGGGGTATGCTCCGATAGCCAGAGGGTTCAAGATGTTTAATGTCTGAAAATCTAACATTTAACATCTAACAAGCCCAACATTTTGCCCTTTCAAATCTTCTGGTCCCCCTCTCCCATCTAAGAAGAGCCCAATTATTTGGTCTACGTGCATTGCAATGAGGTATGAAAGGCATGCTGATATCCAACCTGTGGACTAAGCCAGTGGCCCCCAACCTTTTTTGTACCACGGCCCGGTACCGGCATCAGCACGCACGACCAAGGCAAGGCGAGCTGAGCGACCGGCCAGCCAGCCATCCCCCGCTTCTCCCCGCCACCTTCAACTCCTCCTTTGTACCTTCTAGTGGTCGATGGGCTTTTCGGGCTCTTTCTTAATCTCCTCCTGAGTAATGCGAGACTCCACCGCCATTGGGATGGCTGTTCGTTCGAAGCCACCACCCCCTTTGACGAAACTAAGGCGCGAGGATTCCTTCAGCACCCAAACGCCGCTTTCCAACCGACGACCGACAAGCTCGCCCGGAAGCACTCTCTCAAGCGCTGTCGAAACAAGATGGCGGCACCTAAGCAAAATAGGCGGCCCGGTACAAAATGATCCATGGTACCGGTCTGGGGCCCGGTGGTTGGGGACCACTGGACTAAGCCATGTTCTGTATTCACAATTCAGATTTTACCAAGGCAGGTACTAGCGTACAGGAATAAGATTTATTTATTTGTATTTATTTATATCTCCTTTAAAGAGGAACTCTGAGCGATGTACAATAAAATGTCAGAACACAAAAAGAGTATGCAAAAATTAAAATGTTAGAATTACAATTTCAAGATTTTTTTTTTTAGAAGGAGACAAGAATGATTAAGATCTGTTAGAAATTAATCAAACAGGCAAAGGGAGGGCTATCAGGCCACCAACCAATCCCACGACTGCATGCTTCTTTGGGTTCCCCATATGAGGCTACAGAGCATGTTTTAACTTCTTTTCAGGAGGTCAGAAGAGTGGGGGGCCTGCCTCACCTCCAGGGGGAGAATGCTCCACAGGGTGGTGGGGCAACAGATTATCAGACTGTTACCAGGGCCCATAAGGTCTGAGTGAGTTCATTGCTCAATCTCAAAATTCAGTTAGCCTCGCTTGCCCTCCATGCTCTTTAGCTGGGGCGCACTAAGCAAGAACAGTAATGAAATTAGAACAGTGGCCCCCAACCTTTTTTGTGCTGTGGCCCGGTACCGGCATCACAAAATCATCCGCGGCCCGGTACCGGCATCACAAAATCATCCACGGCCCGGTACCGGCATCAGCACGCATGGCAAGGCGAGCCGAGCAACCGGCCAGCCAGCCGTCCCCCGCTTCTCCCCGCCACCTTCAACTCCTCCTTTGTACCTGTGTCGATGGGCTTCGCGATGGCTTCGGGACGGTCACTCGGCTTGCCTTGCCATGCATGCTGAAAGAATCCTCGTGCCTTAGTTTTGTTCGAAGCCGCCCCCCCCTCGATGAAACTAAGGCGCGAGGATTCTTTCAGCACCCAAATGCCGCTTTCTACCCGGAAAAGCTCACCGGAAGCACTTTCTCATCAAAACAAGATTGCGGCGCCCAGCAAACCGGCGGCCTGGTAGAAATTGTTCCACGGACCGGTACCGGTCCGGGGACCGGTGGTTGGGGAACCCTGAACTAGAAGACAGCACAAATGTGCTTGCATTTGATTTACTCTTTTCTTTGGTCAGCAATGCATGCTGAAAAAGATCTTTAAAATAGTAGTTGATTACAAACAAAGTAAGAGTCAGCAGGGTTTGCTGGCTGCAAAAAAAAAAAAAAGAGAGAGAAAAAGAAGACAAAGGCAATTTTAAGCTGTATTAGCAAAAGTAGTTTTCCAATTGCGAGAAGAAATAGTTCCACATAATTCTGCAGCAGTCAGAATCCAATCCCTTCCATAACAAGCCCTTCAAAAAATTTAAGCCAGCGGGTTTTTCTGTTTTTGAAAGTCTCAGAATAATGTTTGTTATATGGTATTTTTGCAGGGCAATGAAAGAAACAACAAAACGAGCCAATGGAATTTAGTCCTTTCTATTTTTCCTCTTTTATTTGAAATGCCAGTGAAGAAAAAGAAAAAAATCCTAGTGATTGCTCTTTAACACAATCTGGAAATAAACACATGTACACTGTGTGTAGAGCAATCAAACTTCATTAAATCAAGCCTAGACATTCCTGAAGCTCTTAACTAACAATATTTCACTCCCAGGAGCCTAAAACCCAGCTCTTGCTGGCTCAACTGATAAGCAAAAAAATAAATGATCTTTTCCTAAATACACTACATTTCTTGACTAATTGTTAAATGAGCTGTTTACTGTTGTAATGTGAAGATGCCGCAAACAGGAATCAATAATTCATTCATCACACTAATAAAGAAAATGTAGTGGCTCAGACGATGAGCTTGTAGTAAAACCAGATGAACTGAAGGATAAAGAAAACACCAGTTGAAATGTTAAGATTTGTCTGCCCTTTTTATTTTCATTCTTGTTTTTTTTTTTAGAACTGAGGAATTAGAGCACCTGTTAAATTGGATTTACTCGAAAAGTTCAATCCTTCTCATTTAATTCAATGGAAGATAAATGACATTCAGGTTTTTCTTTAAAAGATAATATTAATATATGCCAGTCATAATACAAATATAGGCTAAGCATGTCATATCAGGTATAAAGCATGTTATCTGACCTACATAAGCCTCCTGTGAACCATATAGGAAACACAAGATGAACAAATTCTACTTTATTTTAAGACTACATTAACAAAACCTTGCAAGAGATCTGAAGGCACAAATTTCCTGCCTCCACTTTTAACTGTTTGATCTATTAGGGTGAGCTCTTCCTAAGTTTCTTTCTTTGACTCTTAAGCAACCGAGGACTCCTATCTCTCTTGTCTGATTGTTTTCTCTTCCACCCTTTATGCAAGGTCATTGATGCATTCTGGTTACAGTCATTGACGAATATTCATTTTAGTGATAAAAAGTGATATACTACGGACAAGTAAAAAAGAGAGAGACAGAGAGAGAGAGAAAGGGGAGAAGATACAGGTAGTCCTTGGGTTATGACGGCAATTGGGATCAGAATTCCCACAGCTAAGCAACATGGGTTGTAAAGCCCAATATCCTATTATCACATTGCTCAGCCATAGCAAGCAGTCCCAGTTGCCATGGTTAAAGCGAGGACGCTACGGGTTAAGCAAGGATCTTATGCAATCACAACTTATGATTTCCCGACAGCTTCCCTTTGTGACTGCAACTTGCTGCAACATTATAATTGCAATAAGCACCTGGCTCAGAGTCACATGACTGCAGGGATAGCGTGATCGTGGGAATTACAAGGACCGTCTAAGTGTCCTTTGTTCAGCCCTTTCATAACTGAACGGTTGTTGAATAAATTATGGTAGCTTGGAAAATTATATGTATGGTTGGAGAGATTGGGAAAATGCATGACGATACCTCAAGAAAAGCTCCACATTCTGAAGTGTAAGAGGAGAAGACCAAACAAACACAAGGCAGACCCAAAAGAAGATGGAGACACAAAAATAAAGACACACTACAACAACATCAATTAACAATTGGTTGAGGCCACTAGAAGAGAAAGAGCCAGCACTTTGTATCTTCCTTAACACCTGAAATGATAAAAGAGGAAGTGAAGAAGAAGTTAAGAGGAATGATTCATTTAAGAAATGATAGTTTACAGTGGAAAAATCTGTTGCCTTTTCTAGTCCAGTGAAATCTGCAACGTTACAATGGGAATATTTTTGAACATTGAAATCACATGGCTGATGCTGTTCATAGAATATCTACTATGATTAAAAAAAAAACAGAAAATATAGCCACCGTAAAATATAAAACAATTATTAAAAGGCAAATTGATATATTTTCCCAATGTGCTAGTATCCAACTTATGATGGCCCAATCATATGCCATACGAAAACATATTTATTTTCTTGTGATATTTTTTATAAGTGTAAGGCTAGGAGGCATAGTTTGAAATACGGTAGTACTTGCTTACTAATTGCCTCATGCTGCAACTATTCAAAGTTTTGGTACTAAAAGAACTCTCTGCAATCAATCTTCACCTTTACAGGAGTCACAGCGTCCAGCAGTCACAAGATGGTCATTTGTGAGCTTCATAACAGGCACACATTTATGACTGTTGCAATGTCCCATGATCATGTGATTGCCATTCACATACTTTGCAACCACCTTGCAACAAACAGAGTTAATAAACAAAGCACCTATGCTTAGTGACTGAATTGGCAGTCCCAATTGTTGCTAGACTACCTAATTGATTGCTCTATGTCCGGGGTGTCAAGCTTGCATCGTCACGGCAGTGTCACGTGACATATCAGGACTTTTCCCCCCCTTTGCTAAACCAGGCGGGGGGCAGGACCAGCATGTGACGCATCCGGCCCGTGGGCCACGAGTTTGACACCCCTGCTCTATGCTGAGTCTTTGCTTCATAATGTAGCAGCTCCAATATTTTCAGTAAAAAGTTACTAATGTCAGACGGAGAGGAAATCGGTTTGCTAGTAAAGGAGATAGTTTGGATTTCGCACATTGTCCTGGAGTGACCCTTGGCAGACAACGCATTGCACACAACCCCAAGAATATGAGATCACACAGATGTAATTTGGAGGCAAGATGACATGCCATAATTATTCTTAGGATTTGACTTCATAAATAAGGAAGGGCATTGAACCAGAAGGCCAATCTCTCCTATTTCCATACTGCTTACTTCCTACACTAAATAATGTGAAATCATGCTACAATAATTTGGGTTTTTTTGCCACT